TACTATCTTCCCAGGTACTATCTGAATCCACAACCACTTGTCTTTTAGTACTATTTCTCCTGAGTTCCAGAGTTTTTCATTAGTATATTTATATCTTTAAAATCAGAGTAAAGAACCTGGGGAGATGGCTCAGTTAGTTAAATGCCTCCCAAGCATAAAGACCTGAGTTCTGATCTCCAGCACACAAGTAAATGCTAGGTACGATGAGTGTGACTGTAAAGCCAGCACTGTGGAGGCAGAGACAGGAAGACTCCTGCGGCCTGATGGCAGTTTATCTTGTGAAACCTTTGAGCTACAGATGCAGTGAGGGACCCTGTCTCAAAACATAAGGTGAATAATAATAAAGACCCCTGAGGTCGATCTCAGGCCTTGGGCCAAGTTGGAATGTTTGTTAAGTACGAGTGACTGGCTAGTAAAAACAATGCAAGTCGTCTAACAGTATGCTTGTTTTCCAAAAACAGCAGAGTACTGTGAGCATTTGTTCATTTATCACAAAAACACAGCCTCACAAATTTTAAATTAAAACAGCAACCCAACAAACCATTGTTCATCGAAATTAAAATTACATGTGCCTTGTGGTTATTCTAGCACATGCATATATGTACACACAGAGGCATACATTTAAAATGCTTTGTTTCTATATACAAATTATTATGTTTGGTGAGCATGCTTAGTTTAAAATTTTAGAGGCTAGATCTCAGTCTTCAGAGTTCCTTCCACTACTGGATGGATCTGGATGGCTTTCTCATCTTCAAGCACATGGGTTGAATTACAAACTAGGTTCTAAGTTTTGTTCACACTAGAAAGGATGTGGTATTTATTGAACTCACATTCAAGTGCTTTTAGAATATGCCCTATCAAATATAGCACTTTTCTTAACACAAAATTTAATTTTGTTACAATTTTTATTGCTATAATTTTTTAGAATATTATAAGATTAAAACTCTCTTCCTAAATATTTTCATTCACTGGTCTTTATTCAAACACAGGTAATATAATTCATAATTTCTTGTGCTGGGCATGCACTTCAGTGATATATGTATATATATCCATATGCATATATACATATGTTCAATAAATATGCACACATATTTAAGTGGAATTTCCAAAAATTTGTAAGACCAGTTTTATGACTTTTCTTTGTAGCAGATTGTTATGACCTAAATCCTACTCTTGAGTATTTTTATGGTTTAGTGTGGACTTATATGTATTAATGATTTGGATATCCAAGGTCTTAGTCTTTATTATTCTGTAGACTAATCAACTCTGCTAATTTAGGAAAATTATTTAATCTTTCTGAGCTTTGCACTTGTTAGAATATAACATGAGATTTTTAAGGTCTGTTCTAGTATTAATCATTTCAAAACCTTCAGTTGTTGAAAATGCTTAAATATGCTCACTAATAAATGCCAGTTTAATTTTAAGAAACTGAGGAATTTCATCATTTTAGAAATGTTTAGAGATAGATGTTTCATCGGTTAGAAACATAGTTTAATGTGAATCAGTATTATTTGAAATTTGGTTTTGCTTAAAGTATCATATTAGTCATATGCTTAAAGTATCATATTAGTCAAATAGAAAATTCTCCAAACAAAAATAACTCATTTATCTCAAAGGAAGATGTTTCAAGAAACATATCAGATATCATAAACTTTTCCTAATGATGCAAAAATGTAAGGATAGCGGCCAACTTTATAGCCGCACGCATAGCTTCTATCGTGCATCTTAAAGCCTTAGAGGTGATATATTAGTACTTTGAGAAATATTCTTTAATCTAGCAGGAAATCAGATAGCATTTATGAGAGAAACAGAAATTTTAATTGCTAACATTTGGGCTTTTACAAGGTCATCTACGTAATACTTTAATGCTCCCAGCATATCTTCTCAAATTTAGAATAATTGACATATTTAGTAGGTAATTTGATAAAATTATTGTGTAATTTTACTTTGAGTCCTTTTTACCAGCTTATTATTTGTTCCAAAATGTTTAAACATCATGTTTCTGTGGAAACTCACATCACAAAAGACTTAGAGTTGAATAAGATTGTGTGGAATTTAACCAAATATTGAAGAATACTGCAATAGTGGTGAATAGAGAGAAAGAATATGGGGAAAATGAAAAGCAAGTTAACCATTTTCCACAGCAGGCAAGGACTGATGGCCTTACCAAGTCTTCAAATAGTCAATCAGTAGATATTTTTAAGAACTTGGTCTATATAAGATGTTCTGGCAAATACAAAGGACACCGTGAATTCAACATTTTACACTTGATTCCTTTGTGGGACATTCTTTTTTGTAGCTGTGTGCCACAACACAGAGAAAGCCTGGTTACCAGAGAATGTTTTCAAAACTATGATCTAAAAAATATGATAGATAAATTGTTAGGTGATAGAAAGTGTAAGAAAGGAATGCTGATATGTATTTAGGGCAGGAAAGCTAGGTTTTTCTCATAAGATAGACTACTGAACAACAGTGGTCCATGAGCCTAGCTTTTCATAAC